GTGACAAGAAATGTTGACCTCCTTGCTCAGCATGTTGTGTTCTTTCAAGCGTGATGCCAGCAATTCGGATTTCTCCTTCGATAAGTCGAGATCTCGCACCAAATCATTAAATTCGGATTGTGTAAACAGTTTTGGGTTTCTTTTCACTTCCACCTCGAAGTCTTCCTCGCATTCCTCCTTGAATTCCTCCTCACTTTTTGTAACGGTCGATTCAATAGAGGGCGCTCGTTTCCGCTTTGGATAAACAGGATACGGGACCGAACTTGAATGTGGAACAGGTTTTGTCATAGAAGCCACTTGTGGATACTCAACTGTTTTGTGACGTCCTTGTTGCTTAACTTTTGTCAAGCAGAAATAACAATCCGTTGCATGACAAAATGGTCGACGCCATATGGTGGGCATGTCAAAGGACAAATAGCGACTGACAGATAACAAATAAGTGAGTTAGTAAGTAAGACATTAACACTTATCAAAAATAGATGAAGTAAGATAATGTCGATCAGGAAAGAACAAAGCACTACCATGCTGTACATAAATTGTTTATTTGAAAGTTATTCAAAAAATCAATTTACCTTGCGCCTGACATCCACCTAGCCAAGCACGTTTTGCACGAACTACATAATACTTTTGGAATCCACGGTTTGTCAAAGTCTCCAGGATCAATTTTAAAATAAAGCCTGTATGCAGTTTGCAACGAAGCAGTGAAATTGACCGATTTTGTAAATATATAGTTGCCCCACGCGTAACAAAACTTTTGAGGATCATTTTTACACTTGAATTCACGTTTTGTCGTATACATCGTTAAGCAATGTTAAAGAAAGAAAGCTGTCAAATTGAGTTGGTTGCGTTAGGTTCTCGCCGAGCGGTCTCACAAACACTAGCGTAAATTATATTGTTGAAAATATCCCATTTAATTTTGCGTGACAGCTGGTAGTGTTAGTGAAATGCACCGTATGCGTACACGTCCGCAGAAAGGCTTACTGGAAGTGGTGCATGAACCTAGGAGCGGGACAACGGCCAATCTTGGAACATTCAATTTCCATGATTTTACAAAAAATTTCATAACTTCGACAATTTCCAACCGATTTCATCCATTAAAGGCTCATTTTCTCCAGTTTTTAATGGACTTTAAGAATAAATTATGGAATGATTTTTTGAATCTTTTTATCCCATTAAAAATGTTGATTAAAACTAGATTTTTATGGAAAATTCCCAGGAAAAATAAAAAAAAATGCTGTAAATTATTAAATGACTTCAAAATTAAATTTTTAATTAAGACATAATATTCTAGTGAACGATAGCAAATTTATTTAGCTTCACTTTCATAAAAAAGATTTAAAATTGGTGCACTAGTTCCAAAGATATTGACATTTTAGTAATCGTACTTTTGTCCAAAATTCAAAAATTTTGTATATCTCAAAAATGGCTCTACTTTAATTTTTTCTGACCACGGCATTGAATTCAGCGTAGGATTTTGCATTAGAAACGTTGGTCAACCACTAAAGTTCACACTTTTTATGTTGTTTTGTAAACTAGTGTTATTGTTTTGCTTTATAGAAAATATTGCAACTTTATTATTTCATAAATAGTGCAAGACAAATGCAGTACGATTAGACACCCTGACGCATATTGGTTCAATTAATATATTCTTTCAGGTTTTTTTTACCTACTCTTATAGCAGAGTAGCAGAAGATTGCCAGCGTACTGTACTGGAAAACTGTAAATTAATGCAAGGCGTGAGAGTACAAATAGGATACTCCATGGGGAATTAACATAAAATTTCGACTCCAGCTACTTCGTTATATTGTTGATTCCACTTATTGTTGCTTGATAGCTGTGCCTTTACCGGCTGATCTAAGGGAGGCACATATTGAATTTTATTATTTTCATTGTATTGTTCTACATTTTAGATGGTTATTTTCTAGTTTTTTTTATTAATCACTTCAACAGCATATTTCCTCATGGACTAACCAATGTTGAACTTCAAGTGAAATAAGAAAAATCCACCCATTCAGAAAAAGAAACAGAACATACATGAAATATTGGATTCATCGATATCAATTATTCATTTTATTTCAGCTCTTCGTAGATTGATATGGGGATGGGGGCAAAAAGACCATACGGGGCGAGATGGGTCACCGTTAGTTTGGGCATAATACCTATTAACTCAACCTAATTTTTTTTACAAACTTTTTGAAAATGCTTCTAATATGCATCTCCATGAAAAAACCGTATCAAAATTCAATTACATGTCTAAGATAATAATGGAAATGTAACATTAGCTCAAAATCTCTAGAATATTATAAGATATGCAGTCAAGAAAACAAGCATTGTGTTCGCACACGAAGGAGTCTTCAGCGCTATCTTTATGTCATTTGCATCGTAACTCGCCAATAGTCGAATTAGGTCGACATAGAATCCATCTTCGTTGCTCAATGTGACAGCCTACATGACAGCCTACATGACAGCCTACATGCCGCCTACATTTCCGGGACAACGTACTTCCTATGGAGCAACTATAAAAGGCATCTACGAAGCAGTGGAAGATCTCTTTTTCATCATCATCTGTTGTGCTGAAACCATCATCATTAGAAATTTGTAGTAGTGTAGAATTGTAGCAGAAGAAATATAAACTGAAGTTTAATTTTAATAAAGTGCATTTAATTTAGTTCAAACAATGTGTAATTGAGTTCAGTCAAAGGAAGAAAAACTACTTACCTGCATGTGAAGATTAATAGTTAAGTGCATCTGAAAGAAAGTTTATAGAAATACTTACCTGAACCTGAAGACGTCCACTGGGAAAAGTGTACACCTGAAACTTACCTGTGCTGCTCTCGCTGATACTATCATCTGGTCCTTCGAGCCGGATGAGCGTCGACACTCCGTTCATCCAGAAACGTGGTTTCTCCAGTGGACCTTCGCCATATTGTGCCTGTGTTCTGAAGGAAGTTCAATTCATCGGACTGCGAACGAATTTTCCGCCATCTTCTACCTCATCTTCTGCTACAACGCTGCTGCTGCTAATTATATTATTACAAGGCACTGAATTGCCTTATTTAAGGTAATTATATTTCCAAACTCTTAACCTTCCTCTCGTTTGGGCTACCTGGTCTTGTTCTCCAGTTCCAGATAAAAATGTCTTTGGAACGTCGGATCAAGGCGCTCAAGGTGCGCTTACGTAGCCTCCAAACATCATTCGCGCTTATCCATACCTTCATGGACGAGTTCGACGTGGACACTGATGTCAACCAAGTTCCAGTGTGACTGGAGCATCTCTCGACACTCTGGGTGGATTTCAATAAAACCCAATCGGAATTGGAATCGCTAGATGAAACGGGCTTAGAGCAGCAGTTTAAATCACGCAGTGAATTTGAGTCTGCGTATTATAAAGTGAAAGGCTTTCTCCTCGCCAACAATAAAACTCCAGTAACACCGTGCTCACCTAGTTCTCAATCAGCTGGTCATGTCCATTTTTCCGCTTCACACGTGCGACTCCCTGACGTCAAGCTCCCTGTTTTCAACGGAAACATCGACAATTGGCTAAATTTTCATGATCTCTATATCTCGTTGGTCCACTCGTCTGCTGATCCCTCAAACATACAAAAAATTTATTATTTGCGATCATCCCTAGCTGGAGATGCCCTTAAACTCATTCAAACAATCCAGATCAGTGCCAATAATTATATGGTTGCTTGGAAGCTGCTCGAAGATCATTATCAAAACCCCGTGCGTTTAAAACGGACTTACGTGGACGCACTGTTCGAGTTTTCCACCATAAAGCGGGAGTCGGCAGCAGAACTCCACTCACTGGTGGAGAAATTTGAATCTAATGTGAAAGTGCTTCAACAACTCGGAGAACAAACTCAGTGCTGGGATATCTTACTCGTCCGGATGCTCAGCACTCGCCTAGATCCCACAACTCGGAGAGACTGGGAAGAGTACGCGTCTACTCAGAATGTAGTTTCATTCCAAGCTCTCACCACCTTCATCCATCGACGTGTAAATGTGCTACAAACCATACAGGTCAAGACCATCGAGAATCCAACCGTCACCACTGTGAAGAAGCCAACCACTCGTCCACTTGCTAGTCATGGTGCAGCTCAGCTCAACGCTCGAAAGTGCCTAATGTGCAGTGATCACCATCCCTTATACATGTGCTCATCATTTTCGAACCTGAGCGTGGAGGAGAAAGAGAAAGAAGTACGACGTCACCAGCTTTGCCGCAACTGTCTGCGGAAGGGACACGTAGCGAAGGATTGTTCTTCATCTAGTACCTGTCGGAAATGCCGCAGCCGTCATCATACTCAACTATGTGCCAACGATGGTTCGAATGCGGGAAAACCAAAACCAGAGTCATCAACCGTCAATCACTCTCCTTTAACAGATCAGCAGTCTAATCCCACCGTCTCAGCAACAGCCATCGATCCAACCAGCTACGCTTCAGCAGGATAGAGTAGTAAAAGGGTTCTGCTAGCCACAGCAGTAGTCATGTTGGTCGACGATACCGGAGTTCAACACGCTGCACGTGCACTTTTGGATTCGGGCAGCGAGTGTTGCTTCATAACGGAGACCCTTTCCCAATCGCTGACGGTTCGGAGAAAGAAAATCTCTCTACCAATTGCTGGAATAGGTCGGTCATCCACTCAGGCTCAACAAAAATTCATTTCCACCATTCGTTCTCTAGCCTCCGATTTCGTCGCTACTGTAGAATTTCTCGTTCTTCCAAGACTCACCGTTGATTTGCCGTCCACATCGATCGACATAACGTCGTGGAAAATTCCTCCGGAACTGCAGCTCGCTGATCCAGCATTCTATATCAAGCCAATCCTGTCGACCTCATTTTGGGTGCTGAAGTGTTTTTTGACATATTTAACTCGTCGGACAGAATTCAACTAGGCGAATCTCTGCCGGTTCTCGTGAATTCAACTTTCGGCTGGGTAATATCAGGGCGATCTGCGCATTGTCATCCAATCACGCCTGTCATTTCCAACGTAGCCACCATGTCAAACCTACCTGAAATTATGGAAAGATTCTGGTCATTGGAAGAAGATGAATCCACACCTTGCTACTCCGTTGAAGAAGCTGCTTGTGAAGGGCGCTATATCGTTCGCCTTCCACTGAAGGAAGATATATTGGTCAACCTGAGCGACAACCGCAACACAGCAATCCGGCGCTTTCATCTGCTAGAACGACGGCTGACTCGTGACGAAGGCCTAAGTAAACAATACTGCGAATTTATGGATGAATACTACAATCTTGGTCACATGGAACGTGTACAGAACCACGAGAACTTACCGGTACCGTGTTTCCATCTTCCTCACCACGCTGTGGTTCGAGAAGACAGCTCAACCACAAAGGTCCGAGTTGTTTTCGATGCATCGTGTAAGTCAGCGACTGGACTGTCGTTAAATGATGCTCTAATGGTCGGTCCTATCGTCCAACAAGACATGAGATCAATCATGATGCGTTCACGAAAGCACCCCATAATGCTCACTGGCGACGTTAAGCAAATGTACCGGCAAGTACTGGTGGACAAACGCGATACACCTCTTCTACTTATTGTCTGGCGACCCTCTCCCGATTTGCCCCTCCTCACTTTCGAACTGAAAACGGTAACGTACGGGACAGCCAGCGCGCCGTTTCTCGCCACACGGGTACTTAAACAGCTAGCAGAGGATGAACGAGAAAATTTCCCCGAGGCGGCAGAAGTTCTCTGCAAGGACTTCTATGTAGACGACTTATTCTCCGGTGGACCCAACGTCACTGAAACTTCGAAGTTACGAGAGCAATTGGATTCGTTACTGGCTAAGGGCGGATTCCAGTTACGTAAATGGGCATCGAACGAAGACGCCGTCCTCGAAGATGTACCTCCGGAAAATCGTGCTCTACAGCCATCCGTAGACCTTCAACCTGACCAATGCATAAAAACGCTGGGCTTACACTGGGAACCTGCATCTGACGTCTTCCGGTATCGCATCGAGCTACCTCCCCCTGGTACAACATCATCACTCACCAAGCGAATGGCACTATCTCTCATTGCCCAACTGTTCGATCCTCTCGGACTGGTGGGTCCAGTCGTCACAACAGCAAAGGTTTACATGCAGTCACTATGGACCATGAAGGATGAAAACGGAAACACCTGGGGTTGGGATGTAGAACTCCCACCGGTCATGAAGGAACGATGGATCAACTACTACTCGCAGCTTCCACTATTGAACGAGCTTAAAATCCAAAGACACATTTTATGCTCCAATCCAACGTCAATTCAGCTTCACTTTTTTTCGGACGCATCACAGCATGCTTACGGAGCGTGTGCATATGTGCGATCGACGAATGCGGAGAACACCGTTAATGTGGCTCTTCTGACAACGAAATCCAAGGTGGCTCCTTTGAAGCAACAAAGTATCCCACGGTTGGAACTGTGTGGGGCTCTCATCGCAACTCAATTGTATCAAAAGGTTAAATCGTCTCTTCAACTAGAAGCAAAAACCTTCTTTTGGGTCGACTCAACGACGGTCATCAGTTGGCTACTATCATCACCATCCACTTGGACAACATTCGTGGCCAACCGTGTCTCGAAAATCCAGTTGGGTACAGAGAATTGCACCTGGCATCACATCGCTGGCCAAGAAAATCCCGCAGATCACATTTCTCGAGGCATGACCGCCGAATCGATTCTCAACAACGATCTCTGGTGGTATGGACCGCCATGGCTGCGACGCAACGAACAAGAATGGCCTGCACATCTGATCGACCCAGCAGAAGATACAACAGCATCCCAAAAGCACGCAAAACACCGGCAGCGTTGACAACTGTAGTCACCGAACCTTCGTTCATTCTCCAGTTATAATCGAATGCTGCGGATAGTTGCATATTGCCGCAGATTTGCCAGAAATTGTCATCGCATCAAAGAAGAGCGACCGGATGAGATCCAAATCAACGCAGAAGAAATGAAGGAGGCAGAAGCAACATTAATCCGATTGGTTCAGCAGCAACATTTCGGTGAAGAATGGAAGCTACTGCAGTTGGGAAGAATTCAAAAATCAAATGGTTCTATCCCTTTCTCTCGACTGACGGGATGATTCGCATTGGAGGCAGATTGAAGCAAGCACCTCAGCCCTACGATGCCAAACATCAGATTATCCTTCCGTCATCTCATCCATTATCAGCACTTCTTGTACGAAGCTACCACGAGCAGCACCTACATGCTGCACCACAACTACTTCTCACTATCTTACGGCTCCGGTATTGGATCTTAGGGGCCAGGAGTTTGACCCGTCGAATTGTCCACAACTGCGTCGTGTGCGTTCGAGCTCGCCCCAAGCTACTCGAGCAGTTTATGGCTGAACTGCCTGCCTCACGGATTACAGCTTCTAGACCGTTTTCATCGACAGGTGTGGACTATTGGGGTCCAATTTACTTGCAACCAATCCATCGACGAGCTGCTTCTAGGAAGGCCTACGTGGCAGTCTTTGTGTGCTTCTGCACGAAGGCTGTGCAGTACTGCAAAGTTCATCAGGCACTCCGAAAATTCGTCTCACGCCAGGGACTATGTTCCAACATACACAGCGACAATGGGACAAATTTCGTAGGAGCAGACAGAGAGCTACGAGCACTGGTTAAAAGCAAGCACCACCGGCAGACCATCGCACAAGAGTGCACCGAACTTGGCATCAAGTGGCACTTCAATCCACCGAAAGCCTCCCACTTCGGTGGCTTATATGAAGCTGCCATTAAATCAGCGCAAAAACACTTCATCAAAGTGCTGGGAATACGCACATTAGCCTACGACGAAATGGAAACTTTGTTAACTCAAATTGAAGCCTGCCTTAACTCACGTCCGCTGGTTCCACTGAGCGACGATCCATCGAACTTCGATCCATTAACGCCGGGTCATTTCTTGGTTGGTTCAGCATTGAAGGCAGTTCCAGGCTTCGACCTTACGGAGGTACTTTTCAATCGCTTGCGGCAGTACGAAGCAACACAAAAAATCCTACAATGTATTTGGCGCAGGTGGCATGCAGAATATTTGTCCACCTTGCAATCAAGAACCAAATGGTTCAACCCACCGGTGCAAATTACCAAAAACTAGCTGGTAGTTATCAAGGACGAAAAGCTTCCTCCAATGAAATGGCCTACAGCTAGAATCCTGGACCTTCATCCTGGATCGGACGGAATCACAAGAGTCGTCACCATTCAAACTAAAAATCGATCAGAATGAAATCGGAGGACTTCAAATGAAACAGATACAAGGCCCTGTTGAAACAGGGACAAGGAATTATTCGTTCTTCATCAAAACTGGGCAACAGCAGAAAGTGAAAGTGACATCGACCGACGAGTGACAACTGTGCCGAACGAAGAACGAAAGCGAAACGTCAATTTTTATCGATATTTCTACGAGGGACAACCCACGCGCTTCATCTAGAGTTGGATTCAAAATTAATTTAGCGTTACATTTGCAACGGACCCATTTGAAGATACGGAGCATGCAGCCAGTCAAGGACATAACCCCCGGGGAAAGCGTGTATGTGCAGAAATGATGTTTCTGAGGGGCCAGGATGTTCGCACACGAAGGAGTCTTCAGCGCTATCTTTATGTCATTTGCATCGTAACTCGCCAATAGTCGAATTAGGTCGACATAGAATCCATCTTCGTTGCTCAATGTGACAGTAGCCGCCTACATTTCCGGGACAACGTACTTCCTATGGAGCAACTATAAAAGGCATCTACGAAGCAGTGGAAGATCTCTTTTTCATCATCATCTGTTGTGCTGAAACCATCATCATTAGAAATTTGTAGTAGTGTAGAATTGTAGCAGAAGAAATATAAACTGAAGTTTAATTTTAATAAAGTGCATTTAATTTAGTTCAAACAATGTGTAATTGAGTTCAGTGGAAGGAAGAAAAACTACTTACCTGCATGTGAAGATTAATAGTTAAGTGCATCTGAAAGAAAGTTTATAGAAATACTTACCTGAACCTGAAGACGTCCACTGGGAAAAGTGTACACCTGAAACTTACCTGTGCTGCTCTCGCTGATGCTATCACATTGCATTCACTATATTACATTTTACTGATCCGCTGGTTCTACAGCGAGCAATACACGTAACTGTTGCTAAAAGAACATTCATTATTCATATTTTGAACATTGTATATTATCAAACATATTCCAAAGCATGAGCATGATCACAGCTATTATACATTTATGAATGTTTTTCTTAGGGGGACCATATTGCCCCTAGCTACCCTATATAGGGGAAATGGCTCTAACGTTGGCCTATGGATCTAAGATTGGGCCCATCGCTAAAAATCTGCTTTTTATAAATTTGATCTAGATGAACGCGTCATTGGGACGGTACTAATGGATATTTCTGGTCGCTATTGAAAATTTAGTCGATTGCTTAATTTATGTATGGGCCCAAATTAGGCATTTAGGCCGACATTACATCCATTTCCCCTATATATAAAAATACAAAAATTATAATAATTAACCTTCTACAGACTAGATCAACTTAATCAATATTAACTGCATTATTTATATATTTAAATTATATTGCATTAGGTACTCATCCAAATTAAAATGAAGCTGATGAAGCAGAGCAAGCAACAAGAATACTTAACATTATATACATCTATTTGTTTTAAAGGTTGTTTCTCGTCATGCATGACATCATTTAGATGAGATTGGATTTCCAGTTTAATTTTAGTCCTGTTAGTTATACATCATACTTTTTTCATTCTTGAAAAATAACAAAGAGCAAATTTTCATTACGTCGAATGTAACAAAGGTAAACAAAGTCGAGCTATCAGTGTCAATCGATGCTCCTGCTATTACACTATATACTGTCCGAATATAGGATCACATCCCATTTTTAAATTTATTTACCAGTCAAATTGCTTGTTGACGTAATCACCTTCCGATCAAAATAGTTTTCGATGTTACTTAAGTCACCCGATTTCTATGGAGATGCCGTTTGCATTAAGTAACAGCACTGAGAAACCCGTGAAAAGTGTACTTTCGTCGTTTTGCTTTCTCATTATTAAAGTGAATAAATCGAACTGTTTGTTGCTAAAATGTTTCGGTGGTCCTAAAATGATAAATGGGCTGCAAGTAAGGAGACGTAATTGATAATTCTCTCGAATATCCTGGTAAATACACTTTGACTTAAGTAACAATAGGGACCACCAAACGACGTATACTAACTTTTGACTCAAAAACCAATATTTCTAAAGCATGCAAGCTAGCGATTTGCATTTGTATGATTAAAACCCGGCTAAATATGTTAAACATTGCTATGACTATGAGATATGTGTTTAACTGGAAATAGGAATAACTTTTCGGTCATCAAAACAAAACTTTATTTTTCTCGGATCGGTGCGAATGTTTCTTACGACATAATGAAAATTTGCTCTTGTAAGTATCATTCGACCTAAAAATATTTATATGCATAATATAACCTTGAAATTTCAATGTTACATCCTCCTTATATTGGGACCTAAGGAGACATAGAGCTGCATCTTATTGTATGTAAAATATTAATTATTTTCATTGCAGAATATCAACTAATTTATCCATATAAATGTATTTTCATTATTTCGTATTTTAATGTTCTGATATATTTCATTTCTCCATTAAATATATTTAATTTATATAAATAAATACTGGGTTGGGAGGGAGCATCAGGTTATCATTTGACCTGGAACTGGACGATTTGAGTGGTATGACAACCGGAGTCTAGGAGAGAATAGACACTATTATTTTCTTTATCCTACCGATTCGATTGTGGTGGTGTGAATTCTTCTCCAACAGTTTCAGTGAGATTGACGCACCCTTCTTAACAAACCATCCTATAGTAAGCTTAATAAGTACATATTGCGAATTGCGTTATTAGATTTGTTGGATCGTATCGTTGGAAGGAGATTCTTAAATTTCCGTGGATTTTGGCCCTTCATACAGCGATATTGTGAATTCAGATCGGTGGTTCAAATTGATCTTGCTATTAAGTGGAGCTGTATACAAGACAAGATATTCGAAGGGATGGTGGCTACCTTACATACATACATACATACATAAGCAGTTTGGATTTCGCCATGGGTCAAGAGTGACCGATTTAGTTCGTAAAAATAAATCTGAATGCTGCTCAACTAAAGTTTCTCTTCCAGACATAGAAAAAGAATTCGACAGTGTTTGCCATGATGGTTTGATTGCCTTAAAAAATTTTGTCGATTGAACGATTGAAATTAAAAAAAAAAAAGTTTCATTTACCAGTCTATATTATGAGATATGTTTAAAATGGTTTAACTGACAGAACACAGCAAAAAAATAATTTTGATATCACATCAAAGTGGATGCACTACAATCATGTCGAAAATTTCATGTAATTTTTATGACCACATAAATAAACAAATGCAGTAAAAGCAGCGTAATGTCAGTTCATGCATTGTATTAATGATAATTTTGTCCTTTTTAGCAAGTAATATTACACCATATTTTCGACATGATTGTAGTGCATCCACTTTGACGTGATATCAAAATTATTTTTTTGCTGTGAACTTTGCAGGTAAATTATCAGCATTTTAAATCTGATCGACTTTCTGTTAGAGCAGGAGTCCCTCAGGGTAGCATTCTTGGGCCTATATTGTATATCATTTTCACTTCGAACCTCCCTGAGTTGCCTCAAATCTATATTCGCCGATTACACTGGCATTTTCGCTAAAGGAAAAAGTCTTCGTGTTATTTGCAGTAGACCGCAGAAAAGTTTAGATATTTTCTCTTCTTATCTACAAAAATGGAAGATTTCTTCTAACGC